GTTTTTGGCAAGTATTTCTGCAAATTCTAGGGGGTGGGTGAAGAAGTCTGCAACAGGGAGACTGTGGTTTCTACCATGAAAAGTATTAAAGCCTTCTTTAAACTTTCAATTGGAATTGTTTATAGAACAAGGTATTTACTTTCTCATTTTCTTTGATTCCTTAAAACATAAGGAATTTACTCTGAGGTTATCAGTGATGTGCATGGGGGGGTTGCCCTCCCCTCCCCTTCATTTGTTGCCATCAGCCTTTGCTTGGGGCTTTGATCCAAGAGGGAACCAATGCAGAACACCTGCACACAGGCACACGTGAACCTCAAGGCCAGCCAGATTAATCGTAACAGGAATTCATGTACCTGTAAAACGCGTAGAGAACAAGGAGGTTGCCGATGATGCCAATGGAGCCGATAATGAGCACGCAGGTTCCTACAGTGTAAAGAACATGGTCAGGGATCTCTGCTTTGGTCATAGCGTGTGGCTGGGTGCCCATGTTCAAACCCTGAATGGAAAACAGAGGAAAAGGAAAGCTTAGCCCATGCAGGACACTTTATTCCAGGGGAAACACGCTCAGCCTGTTGAAGCAAGGCAGAGCATTCGCTTCCACAGTGCGTGCAAATCAAACACACACCTCAAAACTCTTTTCACATCCCCATAATCAAGTCTCCCCTCAAGCAGCCTTCATTACTTTAATAGTGCATATTTATATTGAAAAAACAACAACAAGGAGAACAGACTGGGAAGGAAAATACTGAGGAAGTTAAGATGATGGTGTGAAAAAGGCAAAGATGTGTTAGCATTAAACTTGCTGTGGGCAACTGCCACGCTTTGGGGTGCAGAGCTAGCGGACAACACAGACTTCAGGTCAACAAGGAATAGCACATCATACTTTGGTTTTATTAGGAGCACTGATATCAAATCCCACACTTACAAACATTAAATCCCCTGGGTCTCTCCAAGCTCCCTATCCACTAACTTGCAGTGCTGCAAAACATGAGACTACCCATGGAAAATGTGGGAGACCAGGGATAAAACAGAAGCAGTAGCATCGCCTGTGTAAGCACAAATACATTAAATAGTCTTGACGCCTCTTTCACTGCCCTTTATCTCCAACACATGAATAAAACCCCACCAACTCTCTACGTATTTTTTTTAAAAAAACAAATTCAGACTTAGCAGCAGCTAAATTCAACAGCAGGGCAGCCTACAGCCAGTCCACTCAGCTCTCATTAGCAGCATCGACGAGAAGAGTCCAAATTGCCTGATGGAGATTCTTATTTACCGAGGCCAGAGCAGCTAAGTCATGCAGAGCGCTCGCACATGCCGTCAGATCCGGACAGCTTGGTCAAAGGTACGGCACCTTGTCACAGCCAAGGACATGCTTCCCATCACCACGTTTTGCTGCTGTGCAGCTCAGGGTGTGGGACAAGGCTGATTTTGGCCTGCGGGAGAGGAGCTGGGTGACAGACCAGGTTCACAATGATAGCTATCACCCTGCTGGTGGTATTTAAGCAGCCCTTCAAAAATGGTGAGAAAAGCCTTTTTTTTTCCTCCCCCTTAACCGCGCGATCCTACCAGGGTTACTCCCCGGGGTGGGTTGCGTTCGGTGAGAGGGAGCATAGCACACCCAGAGCATCCTCAGCACAGCAGGTCCGGAGCAGAAACGCTGACGGCAAAGCTCCTGGGGCTGAAGTGATGTAGCACATGGTACAAAGGCTATAGCTTCAAAGCAGAAAGCTGCTTTCAAGCCTTCTCGGCAGTCTGACAGACTCTCCCCATCAGAGGATGGCTACCGCCAACGTGACACTTCACCAAAGAGAACATCGCTGTAAAACTAGAAAGAAATGAAAGGGAGCGTCTGCTGGTGCTGGCTGCACCAGGGGCTTGTCACCGCTATTCCCAGCAATTAGGCAGCAAGAAAAAAACCCTCACCCTGGGTAGCATTTACCCTCGAATAAGGTGTGAGAGGCAGCGTAAGAGCGGGCGGCGCACGGGGACGAAGCGCAGCCGTGGCTGTTCGGTGGCACCAGGCACGGATGGCCCCGGGCTATCCGAGCAGGGCTGCCTGGGCACACAAGTTAACCATGGTAAACTCCTTTCCTCTTCCCTCAAACCTAAGCTTCTTAGCAATGTGCGTGCACTAAATCAGAACCCTGCCTCACTGCTGGGAACGCATACCGAAGAGGCTAAACTGGGGAGAAAGGAAAAGGATCCTGGTTTTTTTCTTCCTTTCCAGCTTATCTGTTAGGCATGCTCAGGATTTACCCCTATACAGAGGGTTATTGTATAGGGGAGTATTATATAAACGTAATTCAGGGCAAGCAGGACTTGCCGGTCGTATGCGTTCTGCTTTACTTCACCATATGGGAACTCACTGTTGCAGAAACCCACGTGAGAAATGGACTATGAATTTCACACCCAAAGGTGTCTCGCCTTATCTCTCTGCTGAAGAGAAGCTGACTTGGACATTTTGGCCTCATTTATTCAGTTAAGGGTGGTGAGCTGTGTCAAAAGCTGAAAAATGTCTCATGTGGCACATTTGTAAACTCGGATTACAGTTTGCTGGCAATACTGGATGAAATATAAACTATCGATGCTTACAGAGTCGAATTTGGAAGGCAATAAATACTGGGGATTGCACAGAACCTGCAATCTCAGCGAGAAGCTAAAGTGAGGGATGTTTAGATTACACAGGCTTTGGAGAAGGGATTTTGCCTTCAGGGGAGTCCATAAAATACCACGGCCACATTTGCTGCAATGTTAATAGCAGTAAGAACAACTTTGAGATCTGAATGAAATAACAGCTACTTACTCACTCTGTCGGTGTTACCCTGAGACAGGAGGATGTGGCAGGCATCCAGCTGTATGAAATGTGGCAAGCTGATAAAGGCAGAAAACCATTTATAACACTGTAATTTGGACCTAAGAAGATAAATGTGATATCTCTGTGTGTGTGTGTGTGTGTATATAATCTCAACAGAAAACCTCAGCTTTGATACAAAATAATTTCATTAAACTAGTGGAAATTTTCTAAATAAAACAGGCTAAACCAGTACAAATAGCTGCAAGCTAATCCAAGAGAATTTATGCCTCATTTTACTCACATAATTTATTTTACTAATTTGGCGTAATTTCACAATAGAAAACTTTAAGAATAAAGATGTAACTACTCTTAAGGTTGAGAATTTAAAATCTACTCTATTGAACAAATGTTGCTTTTCTAATACAGACCCGTTCTCGGTACAGAATAACACCCAACTGGAGACAAACCATTAATGTCATCAAGGCTTTAAGATATTCACAAAATTTAAGCTGCTTCTCTTTTCCTACAGTATCACCTCTGAGAAGCTGGCCTTTTTGCTAATTTTGATTAACAAGCTAAATACCTGCTAATGTAAACATTTTACTGTATGAGGATGAGGACTAGAAATATGAAAAAAACTTCTAAGCTTGGTGACCAGCTCTAACAATAAGCTGTTTTTTGCTGATATTCTCAAAAGTTGTTACCACTCTATGCATTTTTGAGGTACTTTTAGTTTCTCCCAAGTAACAAGAATAAAATTAAACTATAGGAGAATATTCCAAGTTGCTGTGACTCCTTCCAACCCAAGAAAACCCAAGTAACTATTACAAATCTTTCCAGATGACTTGGTAAGCAGGGCAGCACCTTATTACAGCAGGTTGCCTTCGTTATAGTCGCTGGGGAGTCTTACCAGTTTATGTCTATATTAGCCTCTCTTAGCACCAAAATGATGTATGGTCAATGACGCCTGGTATGAATCAGCAAGAAGTCAGTTTATAAGAGTGGAAGGGTCCTGCCTTTTAGACTTCGCAAAGCATGGGTTTTGGATCCATCTCATGCCACCACTCTCTAACTGCTAGAGTATGTTGTGCAGTTATACTTCAGGCTATTCATTTTCATTTTATTAACAGTGAATTAGACTCCTGGAGAATGCCATCGGAAAACTTACAAAGTTAAAAGACATGCTGCGAGATGCTCCCGCGGGAATGCACGGCTGCCCTGGATGCAGCACATCTATCTCAGTAAGTTGTGTTTATGGATGCTCAGTATCATCGCAGCCACACAATGTAGAATGAAAAGCCTGTTCTGTATGAGCCAGTGTCTTGCTCCTTCTCTTTAATGATGTGATTTAACATAAATATAATTACATTTTATTCAACCAATATATTGAATCTTGAATGGGTGAAGTAAGTTTTCAGAGGCTCATGTGAGCTGTGTTCACCCGTCCATTTTTCCCCCAAGTTGGCTTTGCGTCCCTGCATTTGTGGTCCCAGGACAGAATCCCAAGCACTCTGCTCTGCACGTTTCCTAAGTGAAGATTTTAAAGACATTATCCAGAACGATCTGATTGTTTCCCTCAAAAATACCGATGTAAAGAAGCAGCCCATGAAGATGCCAGTAATTGCAGCAGGGCCAGCTCCTGGCGTACTTGCCTCTCCTGTATTCGCTTTCTTTGGCTCCTTCTGAATTAATGCTACAATCACTTGCGTTTTGGCTCTATGAGATGTTGGACCTGACAGCTCACATAAATCATGATGTGGCCTTACTCTTAGATGCGATGCGACTACAACATCAAAACGCTGTCACCTACATGGCTGCTTGGAGGGCTTTCCTGGCAGGGTAACTAACAGATCTGCAGGCAAATGGAGGGTAAACAATTAACAGCTGTCCTTCAACTAGCTGGCAAAGGAAGCAGGCACCAGATACAAAAATAAACTCGGTTTATTTCTCCCAAAATGAAGATGGAAAACTTAACGGATGAGGAAAGTTATTTTACGACAGCTTTTGTAATTTGACTTTTAGTGATAAAATGATGTCCAAATAATTAGAGCCACCTGTTTCTGCTTTCCAGCTGGTAAGATTAGTAAAGACAGCAATGCAAAATACAAAAAGTTGTGGTTAAAAAAGGAGGGCAAGGGCAGGTCCCCTTCAATGGGTAGGGGTAGAAAATAATGGATCGAATTCAGAAATGGTTGTATGATTGGCATTAGGTGGATATAAGACCATGTAAAGCTTTATTTATCCTCTGATTTTGGTCATGGATGCAAGCTTATCTTGTGGAACTGATTTACACTGAAATGAGCTTAAGCAAGGGCTTGCTTACATGGGGGATTAATGTGCACTAACGAGGGAGTGAATTAACAGCATAGCAGCCTCCCTGTGCTGACCTGCTATGTGGATCCACAATGTAGAATTTTGATTTTACTGTACAAAAAATGTAAGTCTATATAGTTACGCTTGGAAATTTTAAAGAAAAGTAGTAAACGATACTTTGGTGTGATGAGATAGGAGCAATCCATGTGTGCCAGCTAGCAGGTAGTACTTGCCAAGTTCCTTGTAATCTCACTGATGGTCAATGTAAGAGGTAATTTCAGCATGAAGCACCATCTGGTTTGAAATGATGACAAAATCTGGGGCATAGTGAATATCTTGTATGTAGGAACTCTTGAATCAGCGAACAGAAGATCATTGCTA